TAAGATTGTACCTCATGTTCTTTTCCTTAGGTAAAAACTGGAAGAACGGGCATTCGGGGTCATTCGATCTTTTTTTGTAGAGTGTCTTGTCCGCCTTCTCTAGCAAATCACTGATATTTACATTCTTGGACATAAACTTTCTTTTCATACACCGGTCTAAAAAATTCTGTATTACAGAAAGGTCGGAATCTGAGGCACCCTAAACCGGCAGAGCGTAAGAAAAATTTGGTAAAACTATTGCGTTAAAAAGGTGATCTACTTCTTCCTGGGACATTCCTTCCTTTCGTAAAGATCCTAATACGAATAATGACTTGTTCGCCTTAATTACCTTCGCGCGCACGTGACTACTGTATTTTTCAATTTTGTTGGAAAGTAACACCTAATATGGTTACATAGGGGTTACATAGTTTTTGCCGGGCAAGGACTTCAAAGATTATAGAAGTCATGATACTGATAAAAATTACTGGAGAAAGTGTCAAATTTATCGGAAGTAAGTAAATTCAAGAAGCCTTTTGAATATGAGCTTACAGCTGTACATATCATATCTGAATAAAAGTTCACACTTGACTTCATAACATTTCACTTCGTTTATTGCGATCAGTCAACACCTTGAATTCAAAGTTAAAGTTCAAAACGATCCTAATAAACAAATCACAACTACTACTGAAAGCTCTGTACCTTGAAGCGACCTTAACTTTCCTAAGATTTGCAGCAAAACACTGGTCGATAGCTCAACTAGCTCTTCGGCGGTTCTTATTGGCTATACGCAGCTATATGTTGCATATTCCAAACTCTGCAGAGGGAAATTGTTTAACAGAAAAAGAAAACCTCACACTATGTCTGAAAAGCGACATAAAATCAATAAGTTTGCGAATTAGCAAAATATAATAGTGATGAACATTCCCACCTTGGACCACCTTTTTTTTTTTTCCTTCTAGCGTTCCTTCTCAGAACCGTTGATCTACGGTTTTTGACGTAATGTGCATGATCTAAGCACAAATCCGCTGACAAGACCCTTGCTGATAGCTTTGCAAGTTGTGAGAACATCGTTTGGATTTCATTTCATTTCCGCCCGGTTCGTATAGATGGTTCCAAAGTCTTATAGTACTGTAAAGGTATTGTAAATGATTACCTGAAAGGTACCTTTCTCTGCTATATATTGCGTGCAAGTTATACGACTGCATTTGCACTGGCAGGCGAGATTGATACTGCACAAGTAGCAAAAAGACAAATCTGTCAACTCCTACTATGATTTTTAATAAGCTAAAAATTAATCGCAGGTTCAAGTCTTGTTTTTTCACAGACGGAAATTCGGTTTGATTGTTTCTTTGTCATATCAATGTGGCCGAACAATGTCTAAGATGGATGCGTTCTCTTTTATTTTACATCGATCGCCGAACGGTCAAAAGTTTCTCACACCATTATCTCTAAATCTTCCAATTTGGATCCTTTCCCTGCCACTTTACTGAAAGAAGATTTTCACTTGCTTCTACCTACACTGTGCAGGATTGTAAATTGTTGATGGAATCTGGTCACCTCCCTTTTTCTCTAAAAACTGCCGTCTTATCACGGTTACTCAAGAGATCTTCTCTGGATTATAGACCTATCTCAAATCTCAAAGTTATTTTTAAAATTATGGAAACAATTCTGGCTGTACCTCTCCAAGACTACCTTGAATCAAACCAACTCAATGAACCTCTACAATCAGCCTATAAGCGATTTCATAGCCACTGGTAGGAGAGTTCCTAAATTTATATCTTTAGAAATGATAAGTAATAATAACGCCTTTATCTTGCCACACCTGGAATGCTGTGCTCCAGTCTTAGGTGGACTATTATCACAATTTTAGGACGTAAGCAAACTAAAAGTGTTATCGATGAGATGTTAACCGCGAGTTAGTTGCAGTAAACCCAAGGTTAACTAACCGGTCCTCCAACCGCACTTCGAACAACGCAATTTTGACCTCAAGTTAGCAAACCCGTGGTTAAGAAATTTTTCCTCCGGTTGGGCCTAACCCAGTCTTTTCGTGCAAGTCATTGAACTTAGATGACAGTAGTTCAATGTCATCTGCGATATCAAGGTCCTCCAGCACTGTTGTGAAATACCACCTTACCCTCTTCTCTTGTCTACTTTTGCCTTCCTCATGACCCAATCCAAGCACAGTAAGAATAGTATTCCTGACATCACGCACCCCTGTTGTACCCCAGACTTGATCATAAACCTTTCTGATGTTACACTCCCGTCGACAACTGCGCAGCCAAAGCCCACGTATACCTGCTATCACTCTCATCATCTTGTCTGGTATCCTATAACTTCTCATGATATTCCATAGGCTTTCCCTGTGTACAGAGTCCAAGGCTTTTTTAAAGTAGGTCCTCTACAGTTGTTACATTCGTGCAAATCACCTTTCTTGAATACCTTGACAAGAAGTCCCTTCCTCCACACTTTCGGCCACCTCTCCGTTTCCCAAAGCCTGTTGTAACAACTAGTCAGCCTACTTGCAGTGTCTTCCATGTCAGTTCTGAATAACTCCGGACACACCTCATCTACTCCAGCCGGTTTCCTTGACTTTGTCCTCTTCAATGCATCCCTCACCTCTTGTAATCGCCATCTTGCTAGATCTATTTCCTCATATCTTCTGATTCTACTATCTCATCCTCTTCCACAGGATTTGGGTCATCTCTGTTTAATATTTCACTAAAGTTCTCCACTTACCTCTGCATTCTTTCTCGTGTTTTGGTCCTAAGTCCCCTTGTTTGTCCTTAACACCTACTTCTTGTTTCCGCATTTCTCCAGTTATCGACGTGATAATGTCGTATAGCTCCTTGTTCCTACCATTCTCAGCGGCCTCTTCCGCTGCTGCAGCCCTCTTCTCTAAACAATTTCTCTTATCCTCCTTAGCACTCTGTTTCACTGCTTTGTTCTTCGCATTATACTCCTCTCTCCATCTCTGTTTCAGTCGTTCCGATCTTGTACCCTCCATTTTCAATTTTTCTTTTTTCCTTTCCTTGATCTTTTCCCATGTTTTGTTTTCTATTCATGGCTTACTATGTTTCTTTGACCTCCTCAAAACTTTCTTTGCGGCATCTCTCTATGCTGCCAAAATAATCTTGTTCTTCCTATGGATCCTCTATGTCTCCTAAATCTTCAAACCTATTCCTCTCCTCAACGTTGTACCTCCTCCTGATCTCTTTACTTTGCAGTTTACTTACGTCAAACCTTCCCCTTACGTTCTTCCTCCCCTCAGCCCTTGCCAGCTTTAGGCGTATCCTCGTTTTCACAAGGTGATGGTCACTATATACGTTCTCCTTTCATTACTCTGGTATTCTTTCATTACCCTGATGTTCTCATGTTTCCATTCAGTAAAACACGGGTTAATCTGATTTACTGTCCTCCCATCTGGTGACCTCCAGGTCAGCTTATGGTTGTCTTTATGAGGGAAGATTGTTCCAGTTATGATTAACCCATTTGCACTACAGAAGTCACATAACCTCTCTCCATTGTCGTTCATAACACCAACGCCAAACTTCTCCATAACCTCCTCCCTGTTGGTATTGTTGTTGCCTACCTTATCATTCAAATCTCCCATCGCCACAATCATATCATTTCTGTTGCAGCCTGAAACAGTGTCCTGCAGCTGGTTGTAGAATTCATCCTTTTCCTCATCCATCGCATCATTTGTTGGTGCATATGCTTGTACTTTGACTAGAATCGTGCTGTAAAAATCCTTTTGCTAATTGGAGTCCATTTCATCAAGGCTCCTTTTGCCCTAGCACTCATCATGATGGCTACTCTTCCCTGTTGCATCTCATCATTTCCTACGTACACCACCTTCTCTTCACTCTGCGGTGTTTCCACCTTACTCTTTCATCTCGTCGGCTACTTTCCCTGCCTGTGTTGCCTCCACCATTGTCCTCACGTTCCAGCAGCCGACGATCGTCTGTCGCTTGGGGGCTACAATGGGGCCTTAAGAATTACACTCTACTGAGAACTACGTTATCAAAAACGGCCAGGATTTTGAGGAAGGTGCTTGATTTCTAAGTAACAGGAGAGTGTCCGCAGGGGACCCGGGTACCGGCCTTTGGGCTTGCACCTGGCTCTGTCCCAAGAGCGTCATTGCAGCCACAGAAGCAGCACTCCCTGTAAGTGTTGTCTCATTATCAACACTTCTGGTTTCTGTAACAATTAGTGTTTTTCTGTGATAGGGTCGTTAGCCCTACACCCAACCCCCAACCTGGAGAACAAGGAGGTCACTCTTTGCCCGGTCTTTACCCTTCGACTTTTCCGGCATGGGTGGCCCTACCTGGAGTACAAGACTCCAGCCTACATAGCTCTAGGTGTCATTGAGACAGGCAAATTGCCCCACCACAATAAGGGGGTGACCCCATTTGGAGCAGCAAAAACAGTGTAATAATAAGCTTTGTTTATCCATCTTTAAAAATAACATACATAATGAAAGGGGAAAATATATACTATGAAATACTATTAAGTAAGTTTGTAATAAAGGTAAGTAAAACATACAGATCATAAGGAGGAGTCTTGGAGCTCTTGCCTTAAACGTGTTAATATTTCTTTGCTTTCCTGACTTTGGTATTGCTACTAAACCTAGTTTAGATCTTAGGTTATAGCCGTGGCTGGTATTTGGCTTTGTGAGAAATGTTTGATTTGGGTGTTTAATATCATTCACAATTCTTTCTAATTTACACTTTGTCCCTACTTTGCATCTGTCCTCTAACGTTGGAAGGGATGTCCTTGGTATCGCGACGATATCTGGGCACCAGTCTTGTATAGACTGCAACTCTGACATTTTTCTCCTGTAGCCTTAGAAAATGGCTGTGGAAGCAATAGAAGTAGCTGTAGTATCAGTATATTGTAGCTTTAGCTGCTTGCCTAGGTATTCAGGACATTTCATGGGGCATACATGAATCACTGATCATATTTCTCTAGCGATTGCAAATTATTATTATTTTAAGTTGTATTTAAATTTGGTGGACTAGCTCATATGGTTCTTATGTTTCTTAAGCTATGTGAAATTTTTTGGAAACGCCAAACTCTACTTTTCGTCGTAATGCGAACAGGGCCTTACTTCATTCTCAATAATAACTGTGACTAACCTATTGTCGTCCCAATCTTTTAATACTGTGCCCTAGCTTTAAGGGAAAATCAGAAAGTGAAGGACCTGCAGAAGGATGAAAAAGGTAATGAGAAACCAGGCACTGGAAAGCTTTTTGATATGTTTCTCCTTGACTTTATGGTGTTTCAATATAGTTTTCATAATAGTATAAACCAACTTAAAGTATGGTATGTTCTGTATATACTTATAGAGTGTTTTCACATGACGTCACGGCGGCCATATTGGTGTCCCAAAACAATGAAACGGCGGCCATGTTGGTGTCCCAAACCAATCCTGTGGGAGGTGAACTCTTTTCTTATGCAAACGCTTTCTTTTGTTCCAATAAATTTGCATAAATGCTGGCCACGTGAGTGAAAACACTCTATAAAGCCAATTCTTTCTGCTAGTTAAAAAATTCTATATATTATTTTAAACGTGATTTTAACATTTCGGTTTTCAAGGTTTTCTTCTGATCTGCATGGAACCTGGAAAAGTGCGAAAAAAAGGAAAGAAAAACATTACTGTAGTCCTCATTTTCCGGATTTGTTTAGGCAGGCATCAGTTTTAAAAAACGTTTCCTAAGAACTTAAGTCCTTACTTTGATTCAAGACTTTAAATATACCATTTTCTAGAGTCAAAACAAGGTGTGTTTTGAACTAATTGCTCGCTTACGTGGGGCGGTTGCTTGGAAAACATAGACCACATGCGATCATGCAGACACTTTTTCTATTTACAGTGTTACGGTTCACTGAGTAATCTAATCCTTTTTTTTTTTTTGAAGTACAACGTAACATGCACTAGCAGGATCATTATCCTAATGCTGCCACGTACACGCGATGCCTGTCACTCCAACAAAATGCCCGAAACAGGCTAGTCCCGGGAGGTTTGTGTTCCTCTGAGGTACTCCAATATAAAACAGTTGGTTTTTTTTCTTTTGGAAATTAACCACTTCCCTATTAAGCAGTGAAGCAAATATTGTTTGGATAGCAAAAACCCAAAACATTCCGAGACAGCCTTCCCAATTATCTTTTCTCTATGTCACGTGTAGCTTCCCACGCAGACTTTCTTTTGGCTTGTGGCGCAATCATCCCAACATTTGGGAAAGTAGGCGTAACGATGCCCTAAGTAAACAGCCCTTACAACTTCCAATTCAAGACACCATTCACGATTATCGGAAATTCAAAAGTTCCCAACCGTGGGACCTGGTGATAATCAAAAGTCCCCACCATAGGCCAACTTTCCAATCCCAGGCCCCGGCCTCCCCCCTCCAGATTAACATTGATGCGGTGAATAGTATTGATTCTATTGATGTTGGTATTAAGAGTTCTTATTCCAAATTTGCAGACTCACGTTACACCCTTCCGAAAAGTGAACGCTTACTGAATATAACAGTTGCTACAACTGCTGAGGGCTGGAACATTGTAGCAAATGAACAGTTAACCATTGAACTGGCCAAAAACCCAAGGGTGAAGGTGTATGGACTTGTACCAAGGAGCACTCAAGAACAGAGATACCAGGCTAAGAAGTCAAATATTGAACTGGTTGATGCAAAAGAGAGGATTGGTTTTTCTGAAGAGGACCTTATTGCATACCCTCCTGACGATCTCGATATTGATATTCTCATCATGCACTCTTATGGGCATGACCTTGGAAAACAAGCCCAAGATATAAAGGAAAAAAAGAATTGCAAGTGGGTTCATGTTGTTCATACCATCAGTGCAGAACTGGCGAATTACAAGCAGAAAGTATCCAGCACAGATGCAGCCAATCTAGATTGGTTGTCAGATCATGAATTGCAGTTAGCTCTTTGTGAAGAAGCTGACATAATCATTGCCATTGGTCCTAAAGTAGCTGATGCTTACAAAGGTGCTCTTCGTCACCGTGGAAAGCACAAGGATGTGATTACTATGACACCTGGAATCATCCATGATCTAGCTGGTGTTCACACAGTTTGTGAGGGTGGAGAAAAGTTCCATGTCATGATCAGTGCAACATATCCATCAAAGTATTTCAAAGTTAAAGGCTGTGACATTGCAGCTAAAGCAATCACATTATTGGAAGATTTATCATACAATCTTATATTTGTTGCTTTGCCCAATGACGATGCTGAAGTTCTGAGAACTCAACTTCAGGGGTTAATCAGGTTCAGTCAATTCACTGTCAAACATGTCCCAAGGAGCACTGAAAATTGGAGAAAGCAGCTTTGCCAAGTTGATCTTGTCATCTTGCCTTCAGCAGCGGGTTTTGGAACAAGTTGTGTCCGTGCCATTTCTGCAGGTGTCCCTGTCCTCAGCAGTGGAAACAGTGGATTTGGTATGGCACTTAAAAAGTTGCCATCAGGAAAAATGCATGTATTGGATTCGGAAGACCCACGGGAATGGGCCGACCAGATCAGGAAACTCAGGAACAAGGGACCAACACAACTGGCTGATGAGGCAAAGCAGCTTCGGGAAGAGTACATGAGACAATATTGCTGGAAAGACCAATGTGATAAACTTGTAGACAAAATGATGGAGATTGTCCAAAGCAAAGAAGGTATGTCCTGATTTGGGTTATGTCACTCAGTCACTCATTCCTCTTACCTATTTAAAAAAGTGGCAGCTAACAGCTTAATTTTTTCGCAGACTGCTAATAGTCCTTAAGGATTGTTGGGAGGGTGAGCATACCTGTACTTCCCTGAATAAGTATTCAGGCTTGAAAGACACCATTAGCTCCGTCAAGTCACTGTGCCCACCTCCTCAACCAACTTAAGAAAACAAGCACTCCTTTGTCCTTACTTTGTCAAAAAGTTAGGCGATCACAGGGAAAGCTTTTTTCTTTGCTCACTTTTGTATTAAGGTTTACTACAATTTATTTTTTATTTTTTGGATCCCCCCCAGTTATCTCTGTCTCTGTGTACTTTCAGAGTCCTTTTAAAATCTGCATTATTTTCATACATAATTAAGTTGTAGTTAAAAATTTGCATCAGGTTATTTTGGTTAACCGACTGAAACTTTTATACCATTTTTTTCATTTATTTTTTTCTCCTCTGCTCATTCTTTACACAAAAAAAGAGGAATTTAGACTGCACCTTCCTAGGCTTAAACTCACCAGCAACTGAGACATCATCCTTCTTGGTGTCCACTAGACCACACATCACAAACTGCAAATTCCCTGATTTTGTTTTAAATTGTAGAATTATCCCTGTGTCACCCACACTTACCCAAACTCTAATATTTACAACATGATTTGAAAATTCTTTTTTTAACCCGTTTAATTAAGTCCCAGGAGTGACCAATAGTAATTTTCTCTTGACGAAATTCAACGTCATGACACAAGAAAAGTTTATTGGAATTAACAATGTAATGATCACCAAAGGGAAAAATCCTTGATCTGTCATCAATTATTAATACTATTAATAGTTCTTAAGGAAATGTATAGAGATTAGTAGAGATTTGTATGTGGTTGTTGGGGAAGAAAGGATTACTTTAACCCGTTTACACTTTATATGGGTCAATTAATGCAGGTTTCGCTATGTTGCTTGTAAGTAAATGGTCTAGGGAAACAAATTGGAGGCAAGAAGAGAATTAACACAAACTTAACACTCTCCTTTAATATTAATAGCAGGTGTGTTTATAAATTCCTCCACCCACCCTTTATATGTTTGCTTATTGATGCATATGTATAAAAATGATCAGTTCATTCGTCCTTTTTTTAACAAAGAGAGCCAAAAAGTGGGATTTGAGCATACTGAGAAGATTACAGAAGCAATGAAGTACGCTGAGAGGAGAATGCAGCAATTAGGAGTCAAGAATTTGGGGGAGCAAGAACATGACACTGTAGATGAGGGAGATAAGAATCCAGACAGCAGGATGGGGCAAGAGAGTGAGGAATGTGTTGAATCTGAGGTGGACAAACTGCACATGCCACATCAAGAGGAGGGCATTGGCGTTACAAAGACAATCGTAGAAGAGACTGGTGTTACAGATCAGAAATCCAAATCTTTGGCGCAAAAGAACATTGCACATGATGCAGTCGATGGAGGTGTTAGTCTGCAAACGAAGAGGTCGAGATTGTCAACCAATGTCAAAAACATTCCTTATGCTCTTCTTGGTAGGATCTGCTTGAAACTGAATACAACAAGTGACCTTCACTTCAACGATTTTCGAATGCTTGGAGAGCTAATGGAAATTGAAAGAGACTTTATAGAATTTTGTGCGCAGCCGCGAAACTCAAATCCGACCCATAAAATTCTTATTCGTTGGTGGCAAACAACTCGAGAACCAACCGTGGAGAAGCTTATTGAAATGTTAAAGAATGAAAACATGCAGAGGATGGACGTCGTAGAGATTCTGGAGGAATGGGTTGAAAAGGGAGATTCAAAATAACTGTAACAAAAATTGAGTGATGAATTATTGGAAAGTACTCAATCAATTGAAATCTATCTAGAAACATAATGCCACATAACTGTACTGTTAGTGTATGTCGTGTCATTTTTTATTGCATTGTGTGCATTTTAATTAGAGTGGAACTCCCCCTGTCACGGAAGATTTTACATGTAAAGGAAACACGAACTTGATGGTTTTCTGGGTAGAAAATTGGGAATATCCAGGACTAATTTCTAAAATGTGAAAGAATGATTTTTGGTATGTTATCAAATGCCCGATGAATTTATAACTTAAATGTTTTGGCTACGATAATGTCATTTGTAATGAACAGTGGAGGTATAAATAGAAATGATAATCTTATGGTAATAATTTTTACAAATGTTAATAGGATACCATCATGCTAAATGTGAATTTCAAATCAGTAATCTTACTCGTTTACTCAGAGTTTCAGAAAATACAAAGCGAGTGTACATGAAAAGCATTCTAGCTTGCGAACAAGCTCTCCAAGTGTGGCGAGCAAAGCTAGCCGCGATAGAACGCGCCCCACTCCTCGCCATCGCGTCTCCTATCGCGTGCGGCTCTCGCGTGACTTCTCGCGACTTCCCCGAACGGAGAGCTTGCTCGCAGGCTTAAAGCGTTCGTGAATTAAAAAACTTCAAGTTTTTGTTTCAGGACTCTAAACCAGTTCGTTTTGATAAGTAATGGACAAACGCTTCACAAGAGCACAGGGTTTACCCCTTGATGATGGTTTTTAACCCTTTCTCTGCCAAAGGTATGGCAGTGTTATTTTAGTTGTGTATTGTAACATATAGGTTTCCTTACAGTATGGCAACCCTAGATGGATTAAGGCCCCCTTAGTGAGCAATCTTTGGCCTCTTTGAGGTAAAATTGTCCATTTTGCAGAGATCGACCAACTCTAGATGTCCGTTTTACCGTTAACCAGATTAGTTCTAAATGGCCAACATCTTGCATCCGCTATCTTCGATTTTTATTTTAAATCAGAAAGGGCCAAGACTAGAACGAAATTGATCAAAGTTATAGTTCGACTACAAGGGAAAACAAATTTTCTTTTCGTTCTTCTTTCGATTGAAAGGTCGCAGTGCCGGATTCAGACCTTGCGATAAGGAGGGGGGGGGCCTCAGTTTGGTCTACAAATAAGGGGGGGCTCCCCGGGCCCCTCCCCTGGATCCGCTACTGAGGTGGATGTGATTTGTTCCATCCCCCACATCCTTCTTCATTTCCACAATATTCAAGTTATGGCCACATTTGGAAGACGTCTGTGATATCCGGTAAAATAGCTTGAATAGTATAAAACTATCCCCCGCAAGGGAGATGAATAATGTATATCTAGCGCTGTTCACCGACCTTGAGGGGGATAGTTGTTTTAGTATTTACCAAATCAGTTGGATAAAAATGAAAAGGGAACTTTTTGTAAATAAAAGACGTCACTTANAAGTTATGGCCACATTTGGAAGACGTCTGTGATATCCGGTAAAATAGCTTGAATAGTATAAAACTATCCCCCGCAAGGGAGATGAATAATGTATATCTAGCGCTGTTCACCGACCTTGAGGGGGATAGTTGTTTTAGTATTTACCAAATCAGTTGGATAAAAATGAAAAGGGAACTTTTTGTAAATAAAAGACGTCACTTAGTTAGAGTTTGTTTACGTTCCAATTGACAGTGTTTCGGGGATCATTTTTCTGATCATTTTGTTGCAAATTCAGTGAGAAATTTTTCTTCTACCTGCCAGTAAACGCCGACAAGCCAGATTTTGTCTCTTTCTTGGTATTTGTCGCTGCAGCTGCTTCATTTACCGCTAAAATATTATCTTTCGAAACTGTTGGGAAACGAGAAGCCATTTTGAGTCCGGTCCCAAAACAGTGAATATCCAAGGATATTCCGAGTTACTGGAGCCAATCAGAACGCGCGAAGATCGCTATTCACTGATTCGTGAATAATAACACAGACTATCGCCAGAAAAAGGGACAAAAACCGAGAAGCCCTGAGGACGAGGTTGCATTAGCCTCGTTGTTTGGGCAGAGCTGGAGAAAATGGCGCAAAATTTCACACGTTTTGTGGAGAAGAACTGAACCAGAAATTTTTTTTTACGAATTTTTGAAAGCGTTCAAATTTGCCGCCACTTTGGCACTCCCTTCGCCGAGCATGAAGATTCGGATTGTTCCTCCGGTGTCTTTCAGTACTGAACTTCGTTGATGAATTGCAGGAAGGAAAAATCTTGCAGGATAAAATCTTTTAAAAACCCTTCAGTCCACGACCCAAAATTCAACAAAAATGCTAAATTTCATGCATTATATAAAGTACTGAATACAAATAGCTACGGTGTGAGAGAACCAATATTCGGCTATCTCTACAGAAATATTACATTCACCTTCTTGACAAGACTGGCTGGATTTGCCTAACTCGAGGCAAGAGTCAAAGGGAAAATGTAAACTAACGAGAAAAAGACCTGTTTCTTGAGAATTAGTGACGGTCTAGAGAAATAAAATCAAAGGTTGTTCCAGAACAGTTCGAATCTCATCACGGTACGATCTCTTTGGTCATTGTCTCAATTTCGGACTAGTTTTATAGGTATAGATGTTGGCGCATTTCTAGATTCGGCGCGGTTGTAGCAGCAAAGAGACTTAAAAAGGGAAAAGATGAGTTCATGAGAACAAATTCCACTATATGTGAACCTAATTCTTATAGCCGAACAAGTTTTGCTCCGTAAAAGCGTATTTTCATGCTATACGGAAGCCGAAGTGCCTAACTAGCCAAGAAGGAGAGCCATAGCAGACAAGGGACTCTTCTGATAACCTCTCCTTTTCAGAGTCTTACAACAAATTAGGATCACGAGTACTACGAAACAAGTACAGCTGCTTTTGTCGTTAGTTTCTGTTTACTTCGATGCGATTTGTGTCACGAGCGACCTAGTACCAATCGAGGCACGTTAACTTTTGTCACTGTTGTTTGTCAATTCCAGCAGTTTAAATGACAACGTAATTTTCGTAATGCATAAAAGCCAACATCACCTCAAAGTCTTTTTTTCCGTGTTATTGAGTGGACAAATTGTTCAAGCAGCACTGATGTTGCGTAAGAAAGCATTTCACTTTATAAGGCATAGAAAGTCCCATTGCATGAAACATTGAGGTGAAAGAACATAAACCAGCAAAACAATTGTCTAAATCGGTTTTTGGCTAAAATCTGATGTTTCTATAGGCTTTGCTAATGTCCACCCTATTAACCTATTTTAGCGTCTCGAGAAGCAGATTTCAACAAAAGAATTTACATTAACGGACCACGAAATGCCGCTTCCAGAAGTCAGTGGAAATGTGCTAAATAAGTAGTCCTTAGCTAGAAAAGCGAGTCAGTGACATAATCTCAAGTGGCACTCTGTGCACATAAGTTCATCAAACCTGCCATTCAGAGACAGCACATTAAGACGACTAAATCACTTCTAGCACTCTACTTTCAGCTCAACGAAGAGTCAGTTTATTTCAGTATTAAGACAACAAATATTTTAAAATGTATCTTCTTTGTCAAAAAAGTAAATCACGAACCTAATATACAGCATCTTTCTACCTTTAGCTTGCTTGGACACGTGATTCAAAGTACTTCTTGGAATATCGAAGATTTTCACGTTCACTTGGCAAAATCCCCTGAAAGTTACGCCGAGTATCTGTGATGTAATTACCCCACTTACACTCCCTCGATGCCGGCCGAAGCAGGTTCTTTGTGGAGGTTCTCTTAATGAGCGACCCCATACCGACCCGCTTTGTGTGCAACCACAAAATCAACCGCTGATTCTGCCGCTTGGCCATGAATAAAAACAAAAGAAGAATACAGAACAAGGCGCGCGCTATCCTTTGATCAGTTGAACCAGTAATTATCTAATTAATAAAAGCCAAAAGTCATCTTAGACCTTCTGCTCCGTGCTGTCTATCAATCCGCCTGATTTTCAAGCAAGTGAAGATGATACGTTATAAAGCGGAGTGTATCCAATTTTCTTGGAAATGTGGCAGAAGGTAGATCAATAGTGGCTTCCCACACCGACCCCATTCGGAGTATAAAGGCACGCCGCTATCTTATACCGACCCTGTCGGCAAAGCCTGCCTCATTCACTTGGCAGACAGGAGGTTTATTTGCAATGGAACATATAAACAAATCTTATCAATAGCTTGAATTTTAATCATTTTATCAAGTACAATAGACTGCTTAAGATTAGCTTCACAACTGGTCAATGTACTGAGCAAAATTCACCCTCAAACCCTTTAGTATACCCGCGACAAAACAAGTCCGCGCAATCCATAACATTGTTTCTTATTTGCTATATTAGGAAAGTACTTGATTAAATTTCAATCGCAAATAAACAAATTGTACTTATGAAGTTAGGTAAATATTTTTCTTAATCCCAGCTTGCCTTTGACAAATACTATCGTGTAATCAAGTAAAGCCAAACATCACAAAGTCGTTATTCCTTCACTTGATCGATAACTGGGCGAATAACACAGATAAATATGTCTTATTTTTTATTTAAAGTAACAACGGATTTCCTTTGAATGTACCGCCGCTTAGCGAATGGTCTTAAATAGCTTATTTAAATGATCTTAATCGGTTCTTATAGTCCGACACGGAAGTGGAGCAGCAATATTATATATTTTTTTCTGAGAAAAAGAAACCACAGAAATTTCAGTATAAACAAGAAAAACTCTGATATGCTGCCTGCAATATTATAAGCGCGCAATTTACACGGTGCGTTCCGAAAAAACCCTGCGATTATAAGAATTTCTTTATTTGCGGCTCGACCATTCTTCTATAAAACTTGTTTTTGCCGCTTTACGCCCCTGGCTATGGATAATTTCAAACAAATATAACAATAGCATCAAAAGACGGCTAGCGATAAAGGTTATCGCTTTCTTTGTGTTAAAACTGTTTCTTTTCCAAGCCTTGTTTGCTGGTTTACTAAAATTTTATTATGTACTAATATATAGTTGGTACTT